AGCTATTGCACACCACTGCATACATATACATATCGCGTTGCAAAAAGGCACATCAGCGTTTTCGATCACATTCACTCATTAGTGCAAGCGAAATAGATATTGCTTTAAATCACCACATCAAGGCCGAAAAAGCAAAATGCTTCACAGCGAAACTCATGTAACTGCAAAAGGCGCAGCAAACTCATTGTGTTGAGTCCATTTATCAGCTTCACTGTGGACAATATGTTAGGAGTAGGTGGGCGCCTGCATAATGCGAGGCTAACAGTGGCACAGCATCATCCAAACATACTTCCTAAGGATAGCATATTGGCTAGGATTATAATATGAAATGCGGCATAAACATATAATGCTAAAACAACGCATGGCGACATTACCAAAAGCTCGGCTCACTCCATCTCCGCCATTTGCTAGATCTGGTGTAGACTATTGCGGTCCATTCAACATACGAATTGACTCCAAAGTTTTACGAAGAGTAAGGAAGGTTTACGTGGCAATCTTTGTGTGCATGGTAACCTAGGTAGTATATACATATGGTGGAATGTTGGGACAGCGCACTGTCCAACAGTCCTTCACTGAGGTGAAGGATTAGTCGAAGTAGACCACGCAAGGACTTGGGTCCTTTTTCGTCCTTCGATTCTCGAATGTCGTTATTGAGTTAAAACTGGAGTGGCTTCCGTTCGCATAACTACATCTTTTGTTAATGCAAGCAGCTCGTTAAGCTTGAGGTTTCCTGCCAAGTCATCACTAACCCAATGGTGTCCCAAGACAGTCTTCCTCCTACTTGCCAGTGTTGGATATTGGCACAATATATGCACCGCTGTCTCCTTTTCTTCTAGACATCGTCTGCAAGTGTCATCCTCAGCAAGAGTTTTCTTTTTGAGGTGATACTTGAAGTTGCCGTTGTGACTTGATCCTTGCTTTGCGAGTTCATCTGCCTTCTCGTTTTGCTCGTTACCGATATGTCCTTTAATCTATATGACCGTCACCTCATTTCCATGAGCACAATCCATAAACTTTGTTACACATTGTTGAACTAAGCTGTTAGCTATGTATGTCTTTTGCATGCTTTTGATAACTGCTTGATTGTTCTGCGCTATCAGAATCACCTGACAATCCAATAGGTGATCCAAAGCATGTGAGTTCGCCAATACAAAATGGCATAGACGTTCTTATCAATCCTTTAAAGGTGCTTTTTAGGGCAAGCCTATGCTGGAAGCATAAACCTGAAACTTGGAGAGAAGTGAAAGTGGTATTTATACCAAAAAATGGTAATAGACCAAGTGATGACGCTAAATCGCATAAACCGATTAGTCGCTCATCCTTCCTCCTGAAAACTATGAAAAGACTCATAGATATCTATATTCGTACAGAATTGTCTAACAGTCAACCTCTTCACAAAACTCAATTCGTTTATTCCAAACAGAAATCTTCCGAATTGGCTTTACATAACTTAGTCAGCAAAATTGAAAAGGCCCACAAAAACAAAGAAATTGCGCTTTGTGCATTTCTGGATATTGAAGGAGCGTTCGACAATACGAGTTATGGCTCGATCTCGAATGCCTTAACCAACAGAAATGTTGATTTCAATGTTATTTCCTGGATTGAGGCGATTTTTCAAAACAGAAAAATCACATCAACCTTAGGTAGAACGTCTGTAGCTGTTGAGGCCGCAAAAGGTTGCCCACAGGGTGGAGTACTGTCTCCTTTGCTCTGGTCAGTGGTTGTTGATGAACTTTTAATCTTACTGGAGAATATTGGTTGTGACGCCATTGGGTATGCAGACGATCTTGTTATAATAGTGTCTGGAAAGCATGGTAGCAGTCTATCTGAGATCTTGGTAGGACATCTTCGACGCATTTTAGCGTGTTGCGAATGTGAGAGTCTCTCCATAAATCCGGAGAAAACTGTTGTTGTGCCTTTAACACTCAAACGTAAACTAGACATAGATCCCGTACGTTTAGGAAACACTAATATTTTTCCAGTGAAACAAAGTACCTAGGTGTTGTCCTAGATGGTAAACTCACTTGGAGTTCGCACTTAAATAAAATATATAACAAAGCATTAAGGGCTTTATGGACAACACGGTCCTGTAAAGGTAAAACTTTGGGCCTAAACCCAAAGATTATATTTTGGATATATCAGGCAGTAGTACGTCCTATCATGACATATGGTTGCCTGGTTTAGTGGCAAAAGGTCACACGGGCTGGATCTATTGCTGTTTGCATGAATCTCCAGAGATTAGCGTGTCTCTTAATGACTGGTGCTATGAGGACAAGTCCAATTGCAGCACCTGAGGCTATACTTGGATTGACACCTCTGCACATACACATTCAATCTACGGCTGCGATTAGTGCGCTTCGACTAAAACTCCACATGAACAAGAGTTGTCTTGACTATGATCATACAACAATATTAAAAACATTTGGAGCACATAAAATTCCTCAATGCGATGGAGACTATACAACTGAACTCCATAGTTTTGGCAAAAAATTGACCCAAAAAGTTTACACAGATGGATCAAAGATGGATGAAGGCACTGACGCTGGTGTATATGGATCCAACACCAGCATTTCAGAGGCAATGGGCACATGGCCGAGTGTCTTCCAAGCTGAAATCCACGAAATCAACTTATGCGTAAGATCCAATTTATTCAAAAAATCTTCTGGCACAAAAATTGTTATTTACTCTGACAGCCAGGCTGCTCTTAAAGCTCTTTCTTCTTGGACTTTCAAATCAAAACAGGTCATTGAGTGTTACGAGCTTCTGCAATCACTTGCAGCGCGAAATAAGGTAAGCCTTTACTGGGTCATCAGATACTGGGTAGCTGAACTAACTAAACTGGACCAGTACAAAACAGATTATCAAGGAAATGGAAAATCACATGCGGCTGGAGTACTGGGTAAACTTTCCAGGACTCTAACAAAGCAAAGCACTGATAACACCGTACTCCTAAAAAGACATTCTTAAATTCTCAAAATGTAATTTAAGGTTATAACGGGTTTCATTACAGGTCATATTCAGGTAATACAGGTAATATTCCGGCCCACCAATTTTCCGAAGTTGTTCCACGTGGAGCTCTGGTTCATGCGAATCGCTGCCACTGCCGCCATTTTCTTTATATGTAAATCCAACGGAAGCAAACCTAGCATCGCCTCTAACGCCGGTGTTGGTGTAGTGCGCATAAGACCAAGGTAATATATATTCAAATTAGTTGAAAATCTCACTTCTGATGCATTTAGAAATGCATACATCCGTTTTCTAAATCGGCGTAGTCTATGTAACCATTTATACAGTGACAATGGCACTACATATATTGGCGCAGATCGTTTAATGGCGGCTGACTTACAGGTTTAACATAATCCATATACTAAACAGCAATTGGCTAATCTAGGCACAAAATGGCATTTTCTACCAACTGGCGCATTATATCAAGGCGCTCTATGGGAAGCTATCGTTAGGTCAGCAAAGAAGCAATTGCTACGCATTATTGGTATCCATTCCATTTATTATGATCAGCTACATACTCTACTTGTTCACGTCCGCTGATATCGCATGATACTTGCGACGATGAGATGGTAATATCACCTATAGATTTCTTAATCAGAAGATCTCTATTGGCAGTACGAGATGAACCCATTGACACGGTATCCAGCAACAAATTCTCATACTGGCGACAATTAAGGCAAATGCAGCAGTATTTTTTGGTGACAACATCAACATAGGCGATGTCGTGGTTATCCGACATGAGAATCTACCTGCAATACATTGGTGGCTAGGCAGCGTGATTAAACTTCACCCAGGTGGAAATGGGTTGATACAAGTAGTCACAACCAAGTATTCAACTGGCGAATGCATGCGACCTATCCAGAAGATATGCAGACTTCCTGAACGTACCCGTCCAACCGAGCAAGATCTTTGAGATTTGACATAACAACCACGCAGTATGGCGCCACTGATCTATTGTGTTTGACAACAACATTTTGTCATTTGTCAGGCCACGCAGTATGGCGCCACTGATCTATTGTGTTTGACAACAACATTTTGTCAATTGTCAGGCAATGACTTTTGGCTTCGTTTTTGCATTTTCTCTTCTTTAACTGTTGCCATTAGTGATGAACACTTGGTTTTTAGCTTGGATTGTAAATTTATCCACATTGGTATATTTTGAAAATAAAGTTTAATAAAAATATACTCAATTTTGCGTGTATGAAATTATTATATTTTGCTGTTTTACACATATCTCAGAATTCTTATGTAAACAAAAATTCAAACAAAAATCAAAAATTTCATAAAATTGAATATTAAGAAAAATGTTTAATAATTTTGAAATTTCCAACATTCTTATCATTCCTTTTAATTCTGTATTCATTTGAATTTTCAATTTTATGTTAAAGACCTCTGCTAGTTCGAATAAATCCAGGTAAAGTAAATTGTAATTTCCTAGGGATTTTTTGCACTGCATTTATGTAAATATTTATTTATTTATTATCACACTTATTTATTATTTTTAGTTAAAATTTTTCAAATTATTTTATTTATTTATCAAACATTTTATAAAATTTTCACATTGGTAATATCTAATTTAACTAATTTTTTTCTGGTTCATCCTACTCAAAATTCTGGTAAATACCAACATTCGCTGCTATAACGACATAATTTACTATTTCCCTTAATTTACCATCAATTTATTCGAACTCGCATACGGCCTAATTATTTATTTTTATACAAAATGTAATCTGCTTGTTTTATGTGGACATATGCAAGATTTGCTATTTGTTAAAATATAACACTAGACAGATTGCAACAGTGATGCCAATGTCGCTTAGCGAATATAGGCTAGCATGCGTTTTTTGCCACACTGGCGAGCCAAAACGCTTAATACATCAATGCCAGTTTGAACGAGTTTTGTCCTCGATCAATCAAACACGCGCTAATCTAATGTGTTTAGGACCAATATAAATGAAATATATATTTGCATCACATTGTGACCGGTGCTTTATAAGTTTGACACATCAGTGCGTGTTGTACTTTGTTGATATTTTAACACAGGCGGTTTGTTTTATTGTATTGCAACTAATTTTACAATCTTGACTACTTAAGTTATATGTGGGTTGTGAAAATTATTAATTCGGTTTATTGTTAATTGCATTAACATATTCTATATTTTCATTAGTTTAGTTTCCTTTTAATAAAAACGTGGTGCAAACAATGGAGGACGCCGTTGATATAATGGAGCGTTCGGCAGGGTTATTACCGGAAGAGGAGGAAGCAGAAAAACAACATATACAAAAAATCATAAGAGCATTGCAATTATATCGGTAAGACTTATTTCTGAAAAACTGTTGAGTGTCTGATTTTCTACGTAATTTTAAGGTGCAATAATTAGGTAAAATTATTATTAATAACTGTGTTTACATATCAAATTGCATATATAATTGTGCAATATTACAATAATATTGTAATATTTCGGTACATATTGAATATATGCTTTTAATATTGTGAGAAGAATTTGTAAGTATTTTTATTTTGTTCTAAGACTTACTAAGCAATGATTTACAGATTGTTACAGTACAGCAATTTTGTACCTATGTGTAGATAGTAAATAGTATATAGCAATCATAGATAGTGTTATTTATTTGAATTAAGCTTTCAGTACACTTTTTGTTTGTATATTTTTAGAAAGTACGCTTATGCCAGGGTTAATCAAAGTGAAAATTATTTAAACAGCCTGCCCAAAACACATCAAAATATGTTATCGAAATATCGTAAACACTTGGGCGCAATTAGAGATTGCATCGATGCTAATCAAGCAGTCATTAAAAAAATGCTTCGTGAAAACATACTAAGCGCAAATAGTAAAAGTTCGACAGATCTAATAACATCCCATGATACCGACAGTCGTGAAGTAAAAATGCGCCATCAAGAACATGTAAGACAGACATAACTCGTATCAAAAGTTAATAGTATCGTTTAGCGTATTTTCATGTTATTAATTATATTCAGTCATTTAATTCATATCCCTTTTCCTTTTGTAATTCTTGTTATAACGTTGTTGAAATTATTTTTGAAATTGTGAAAATGCTACAAATAATTGCCACAGCGAGATGAGCATGTTGATGTTGAACCTTTTAAAATTTTAAAGGCCCAGTCTACCTTAAAACTTATTGCGCGTGATTGGAGTCAAGAGGGAGCAGAGGAAAGAAATCAGTCTTATAAGCCAATCATAAATGCTGTAGAAGAATTTTTTAAGCCAGGGGAATTGTAATATAAAACTCTCTAAAATTTAAATATATTGTGAACATAATTTTTTCTTTTTAGTGAATTAAATGAAATTAAAATTCTGGTACCTGGAGCAGGTCTTGGTCGTTTAACTTATGAATTGGCTTGTAGAGGTTACGAATGTGAGGGAAATGAATTTTCTTATTTTATGCTGATCGCATCAAACTTTGTTTTGAATCAGTAAGTACATATTTAAGAATTACCTAAATTAATAGCAAAGTATTCCAGATGTACAGAAGAAAATGCGTATACGCTGTACCCTTGGGTTCATCAGTATGTTAATAATTTAAATAAATCGGATCAAGTAGCATCAATTCGTTTTCCTGATATTTGTCCAGCACGGAATCCTCCAAAAGGGAATATAATGATGGCAGCGGGAGATTTTTTAGAAGTAAAATGCAATAAAGTTCAGAGCTGTTTATTAATATAGTATATATTTTAGGTGTATAAAGTAGCGAATACCTACGACTGTGTAGCAACATGTTTTTTTATTGACTGCGCAAACAATATCGTTGAATTTATTGAGACAATTTTCAAGTATTTTTTTAACATTTCTTTATAAAAAGAAAAATAATGATGAACTTTTTTTAAGGATTCTGATTCCAGGTGGTATATGGATAAATTTGGGGCCACTACTTTATCACTATAGTGATATTGAAGGTGAAAATAGCATTGAACCAACGTATGAAGATTTGATTTCCATTATTGACAACATTGGCTTTGAAATAATTAGGAATGATACTGGTATTCGTACTAAATACGCTCAGAATCCAAAATCAATGCTTAAAAGTGAATATGAAAGTGTATTTTGGATATGTCGAAAACCATACAATACAACAAATTTTGAAAACACTAGCGACGAAAATAGAGAAAATGGATTGAAAAATGTTATGAGTGAAATGCAATACAAAAATCACATTTGTAATCAAAATAATTCTGGTCTCACAGAAAAGTAAATCAGTCAGCGTATATGAAAATAAATTAACTGGGAACCTTAAAATTATATCAATTTTCAAAAAAAGAAGATATAGAAGAGAACTGAATAAAACTTAAGTTTTGTAAATGGTAAAAATTGCGAATATTCTTTTTTTTTGCAGATTTGCCAATGAATTGAATTTGTTTAGTACGAATTCGGAATACATCATGTCGACATTCTATACTCTATTGTAGTCAAAAGTATATGATTTTTTACTTATTGTTTATTACAATTGGAATTTAAAAATTGTACAAACAGTTGAGGTACTCTATCGAGAGTGCTCGTTGTTGCGTGATGATTCTTGCTATAATTTAAGAACTGTCTTCTTAATCGATTCATCTGAATAGCATTGTAGTGGGCAGGTATTTCGACTTTAGTTTCGCTCCCTTTTACTGATACAGGTCCAAAAATACCAAGTTTACGAGCAGCTAAAATATCTGCTATGATATCCTGTGTAAGCCTATCGAGTTCAAAAAGGTAGTTGCTAACAGTCAAAGGCGGCTGTAATTATATTTGTGTTAATGAAATATACAATGCATTTAGATAATTATACTTACATTTTGAGTGCTTTGGTTTGGAGGTAAAGGTTTTGATTCGAATAAGGCGCTGTGAATACCATCGAAATTTAGTTTATCTTCAGGAAAAACAACAAAAAGTGGACTATCCCAACGGCAATTTCCATGCGGCTCTTCATAGCGCATGCACAATGCGCTAAAAATTTCTTTCGTATATGGAACACATGAATTGTTAAGAATTTCTGATTTTGTCATGCTTTCAACATCGCATCTCTGCTGATTTAATTCCCATGCACGTTTTTCCTGAATACCACAAAAAATAGTACATTGATTACCTCGAGTTGCTTTTGTTGCACAAAATAATTCGTAACGATAACCTTTGGTTTTAAAGCTAAATATTTAATAAACAAAATTTTTCAAATCTATAAACGTCTGATACCTTTTATATAATTTCCTGCATCCAATATAACAACGTCCTTTTTATTAAGTAGACGCAAAACTTCAGATTTTAATTCACTGCGAACAATTTTTTCTTTCTGTGAGTCTGCAAAATAATCATTTTTATGGAATCCAGCTTTGGGAACAGCTTCATTTTCAGATACTAAGTAAACCTTTTTTCTATTTTGTAAAAAAAAATTGTACAATTCTTTTGACCGAGTAGATTTACCACTAGACGGTAGTCCAGATATCACAATGAGAGGCA